TGCCCACGAAATTGGTATGTGCGTTCTTGGTTTAGGTTGCATTTGCGTTTGCACATTGTCATGACCCGATGATTCTATCACCCGGATTCAGTCAGCACGAAGTGCTATGCATGCTAAAGAGCGTGGACCACCTTCACGCCGAGCACGACTCTCGTTCGTGTATCCTCCAGTTCAATCTCTTCCGAGTAGCTCCGGATAGGTGGCTACCTTAGAGTGGCGCATTGCGAGCTATCACGGTTTCTCTGCAGGTGCCAGCGTCGTACGGCTGAATGCAGTTTCAGCAGAGCTTGTCACGACTTTTCTTAGTGTGGAAGCTGATGCCGGCAGTTACTTCCCCTACTGACTTAGTCCAACTTACAGTAAATCGCTTTTTCGACGTCACACAGTAATTACCCTCACTTTGTGTGCTTCCACTCCCCATTTAGGTCAACCTTTCCCCTTCCTTGGCATGCGATTCACCGCTTGATTTCAAGGTCAAATCACACATGCTGATAGACCTCCTTAATCTCGTCGGAATCGTATGTCATGATCCTACACGCAAAACGCATGGCAGCACGAATAGCTTACACTTGAAGGCTAGCGGCGCGGTGGTCGTTCCGCCGCCCCCACCAGCCTACTTCATGTCAGCCGAGCATTATGTGAACACGGCTGTAACAGCCGAATCAGGTAAGCGCACAAACAAGGTTTCAGTATTTATTTCCCTAATCCATGTCACACATATGGTCACAGCACGAATGCGATATTCATAACCCTCCTTCAGGAAACGTGTGCATGATGCAGGTTACTTCTTTAATCCATTTTTTTGATATAAATAAAGGCCCGATTGTTTGGTATAGACTTCAGAAACATTACGCCCGATTCCCTAGAAGATAATAAACAGACCTAACTAATGTTAACTCATCCATGCAGCGATTTCGAGGGACTGCCTTGGATGGCGTCTGCCAACTCACTGTCTGGAACTACGGATACGCTCAGTATAGCACATTTGTTTATGAGGTTAAATCAAACGCGTCCCATCCATTAGCCCAATTTTAGTTGGAGGTGGTTCGGTGTTGCTCCTCCCAATAACACATTTACTTGCACACATTTTACCTGATATTGCTTGTATGCCAAATGTACTGCAGGCAGTTAATTAGACAGTGGCCTAGCAACTACGTTTGCCGTCGGGGGCGGTGGTTACATGTGTGCCATGACTGAGGCCAGAATAGGATCATGAAGGTCAAACAATCGGTTGAGGGTAAAGTGCATAATCGTTTGCGCCGCTGAGACAAATGTGTAAGTGATCACAATGGCAAGAGTAAGGGGATTATTTGGAAGAAGGTTTACACAGACGTGACACATGGAGATGTGTTGTTGTTGTTGTTCGTACAGAGTAACAGTAATATACCCAGAACTCAGTTTCTCTGGATATTTTGCCCTTTGTATTTGGCCTCGAAGGATTGATGGTGCTAAGAATGCCGCCGCCTGTCACATGCCACCCGGCACGGACCGTCCCCTCCGCCCCCCTTATGCTACGCAGCTACCGTTAGGTCAGGTTCTGTCATGGTGGTGACTGCATTGCTGACTGATTTCACTCTCTCAGAGTATAACAGCCTTCCGAAATCAGGAGATACCACAAGTAATACTCATCTCTAGGTTCGAAACAGATCTACGGTTATGTGTACGAAATATAACATGGAGAATGGAGGGTCATTTGGAGTACACTTGGTGTGATTGGATTGCGACGGGCAGTCTCAATGTAGACCGCGATTCACATTGAAGTGAACGTTGGTTAATGCGATCACTAGACCTTAGCCGAAGAAGATGGAAATTGGGTTTTGCCTGCAGTGTTTTCGGGCGGGCAACAGTAATAATTGGAAGATCGACGAATACTAGGTCTTGCCAATAACCCAAGTATCGCCGTCTCTCACTCCAGTTTTATGTAGTGCCTGTAGGCCTAAGTTTCACTTTCAATGCTCATATGCTGCTGCATCCACGTTGCAATATTCTGTTATCTCTCACGTCATGACTGTCCTACTTGCAGCCCATCTCCAGGCTGAAATGAAGAAGCCACAACCGTATTTGCTCAAATTATTAGTTACAAATAAAGTATAAATACATATCTCACAAACTATGTACATGTACTTTGCCATCGGAATCATGACGAAATAGGAAAACAGAATTGTACTAGGAAAAAGGAAATATCTTTATCTAATTTCTCACAGTTTTTAGTTGTTTGGCAGTTTTGTTAGGGAAGGGAAAGAGAAGCACCGCAACAAGCAGACATACACGACCGCCACTGACTTTAGTTTTGAGTCATGACTTCCGGGATCTCCAACCAGCGACAGTTCGTATCTGGCACCACGACCAGAAAGTTGATAACAATCGACTGAATATGAGTGCTTGTCAAGTTTTCCTCCTGATTCTCCAAGTTGTAGGCCATCTACGACGCCACCTCCAGTCCTGTCTAGCAACCGCGAACAGCGCACGCCGCGGAAGGCAATGATCGGGCATGCGCAATGCGTCTACAAGACACCGTAGTTGACGCAGCGAGACGAGCGCCTCGAGCGAGTTGCTGCTTTCAGCCAAGACACGTTGGCTAGATTACACATTAGTTACGGGGTACAGCCACCACACACGAGCAACTCAACGCAAACAACGGTGCTCGAAGACAGAGGGACGACGCAGGGCTACGGTACGAACAGACAACGTCTCGCAACCGTACAAAACTATTGCGTGGTCAGTCGCACATTAAATCTGCTACTTGATGAAAGACGGAAATCATGGCGGCGGCACAATTGCCTCAGCCTAGAGAGAGCGAGACGAGCTAGTGAGGTACGCATTGAACTCTCGCCTCCAACAGCTCCGCCGTCAGGGATGTAGGTTCCTAGATAGACAAAACACCATGGACTCCAGTGTCTCGCCACCAAGCATGATTGCAGTTACAGACATCTAAAAGTCATGAAAAAGAGCTTTGCACTTAAATGGGAAAAGACCATAATATACTTTGACGCTTCAATTGCCAGGCGCTTAAGCGCAACTTGGACCACCTATGGACCGTCAAACAACAAGACGATATCAATAGCGTAATCCATATCAACTATCCGACTACGTGGGAAGAGCTCAGCGCCAGCGTTCAACGGATACTCCAGAGCACTTATACAGATGCCCTCAGTGATAAAAGTGCAAGGGAATGGGGAGAAAGAGCATCTTTGCCGAACTCCACGAAAGGGAAGCTTGTCCCAAGCCCTAACTCTTCCCCAGGTCAGACGGTATATAGCAAGCAGTATAGAAATGAGCTCCTCGAGGAGGCCATTCTTCAAAAGACAGTGCCACAAGCAGTCCTTTCGACAGAATAAAAGGTAACACGAATGTCCAGGAACAAGACAATTGTTGCTTTTTGCTACATATGATGCAGCTCGGGGACATGGTGAGATGCGAAAATCTGATGGATGCAGCCGCGACCAGGGCGGAATCCAACCTGTTCTCCCCGCTGTAGCGATTCGCGCGTTGTGTATGGCTTGTGAATTATGTTTGTTTCTAGAATCTTTCAAAATACAGGAACCAAGCTGCTACCCGTGTAGTTGGAGCACATTGTACACAGGCCCTTTTTAAAGGTGGGGAGGACTATCCACTCCTTCCAAGACGATGGAATCTACTCTTTTGACTAGACTTCTGAGAATAATGCAATGAGTACGCGGACCAGCTCTCAGCATCTATCTTTAAAGAAAGCAGGACCCAAGCCATCAGGGCTGTGTTTTATAACGCTTCAGGTCTCGGAATTCCTGCGAGATATCCTGGTGAGAGAAAGGACCTGTGGCGATTGATCACTCAGCACCAGTACGCGCCCTAGGGGAAACAGATGGAGCTGGTGGCCAACAAAACTACGAGCCAAAATGTTCAGGAAACCGTGCACTCCGCTGCTTGTCTTGCTTACTCCAAATCGGAGGCCTTCGATGATTCAGATGAGGTGGAAGATTTTTCAGGTATTACTAGAGGGACCAGCATGTTGCATCACTCTAGGTTTCACGGTCGTTCTGTTAACTACAGCGCAATTCGCGATCCAGGGAGTTACGTCTGTCAATTAGCAACAAGGAGACAATGGTGATTACGCTTTTCGGTGGGTGTCAAGCAACTCTGCAACTGTCCATAATAGCAGAAATTAAGGCGTCATCTATACGCACCTATTGTGAATTAAGCTCTTCCTCACAACCTGAGGCAACCATGGTAGTTGACTAACATCATAGTAGTTTGCAGGTTTTTGGCATTCGATTGGTAGTACATACAGCTGGGTGATCCACCGGAACGCATGTAAACCTTAACATAAACCGATAGGCGATCTGAGTACAGACAAGTTGACCAGTACGATCGGCAGTCTGCTACGCTTGCGCGCGGTCTGTAGATTATTGCTATGTAGTCGAGACCACTCTTGCATTTGGGAAGGCGGGCGCCAGGTAGCCGTTTGTTTCTTTGAGTGTCTAAAGGTGGTGCTTGAAAGGGACAAACGATAATCGGAACAAAAATGCAGTAGTCTGTCTCCATTGTCTGATCGACTACTAACGAAGCCAAAACTCCCTTCAAGATGGTGCTCTATTAATTGCACGCGGCCCGCTCTTGCGTTAAAATCTCCCGTAAGAATGACAATGTCGGACTCTTTCGAGGAGGACAGAAGGTAAATTACTTGTCAGTAGAATAATCCTTGACAGCATTCGGGCTGCAGTCTGTAGGAGCGTGTGCGGAGACGACAAATGTGGCATGCGTAGCCTGTCGACGCTTGCTTAACTTACATGAACCTCGTAGTCTGACTGCACATCGCTGACTGTGGACTGAGATACAGTCAATCAAAGTGAACTCAGCCCTCTCACTTAATGCGACCCCAACAACAGCATGGCCAGAAGCGTCAGTCTTGGGGTCCCCGAGAAAAGGCAAATGATATTCTACGTCAGGGTTTGTTGGAGAGGTTATTTGATGAAGTTACTGGCGTGGAGGAGTTTCGGTTTTGCTCCTCCCAACCCACGGCGGATACTCCAAATTGCATTTTAAGTGACAATATCGTATTGCAATCTGGTTTCCGAAAGGCAACAGAGGTCTGCTGAGGGGTCTCAAGGGTGTTTTATTGCCATACGATATATATATATATATATATATATATATATATATATATATATATATATATATATATATATATATATATATACTACTGCCTGCTTTCTCCGAATCCGGGATTCCGGTTCCGCATTGAGGCGAAGAAACAAAATTCGACTAGGAATGTTGTCAAAACCGTTGTTAAACTAATACCAATGGGGTTAGTACAGTCAGCGCGACTGCCCTTCTTGTATGTTGTCACTATAATCGATTCATTCCAGTTAGCCAGGATGGTCTCTTCCTTCGATAGATGTTCGAACTGGGAAATCCGTGCTTTCAGAGAACCTCGTTACTATCCTTAAATAGTGCGAGGGAATCCGAGCCAGCAACACGATAACGATTAAGGGTTGTATACGCGTGTAAGACCTCAGTCTTTGATGGAGCTTCTAAACTAAACGGCCATGACTTGGACCCCATTAGCTAAGCAAGAAGACCTCCAGGACAAGGGGTCAACTGAATTGGGCTGGAAAGTGTTCGCTCAACGAGCCATTCGGCGCTCTTTAGTGTGAATCTGGACACCCGAGCTGTCCCTGATTGTCTCA